GGCGGGTCAGGAGAGGTCTGCCTCGCCATGTGGTCACCTCGGGGTAGGCGTAGGCGGGGATCGAACTCATGCGGAAGTGGCTTAAGTTTCTTAGTGCTGTGCTTTAACCCGCTGGCCACCAGGGAGGGCCAGACATACTTTTTTAAACATTTTTACTGAGATAGAAGTTAGATTACCATAAAGTCCCCTCATGTCTGACATGTACTGTTCAATGGCTTTTAGGAGGTTCCTTGAACTGTGCAACCACTACACAATTTCAGAGCATTTTTCTCACTTCAAAAAGAAGTCCTGTGGCCATTAGCAGGCACCCCTCATTTCTCTCAACACACATCCTGCCCTACCTTCTGTCTCCCTAAATCTGTCTATTCTGGGTATTACCTTTTTTTCTTTTTTTTTGGAACATTTCCTATATGTGACACTGTACAGTTATTTTTTTTGTCTGATCTTTGTGACTGAAAAGTTCTGTGCCATTTCCAAGTATTTATATTCTCTCTGTCCTCCTTAACTTCTTAAATTTATTTTTGTATAGCTGAAAATATATGATTAATTAATAATTAAGAATTTATTAAACTCTTAAGGTTAACCAGTGATCTTGAGATTACTATTTAAATGGACATTAAATAAATTAATCACTATTGTTATTAAGTAAACATCATAAATGTTGCTTAGGTAATGCAAGTGGAGTAATTCTGTGGCAATACATGGTTTGCAACATTACCTGAATTTTATATGCCACATTAATCATTATGATAAAAGTCAAACCCTATGTTTGCATTCACATAATTTTCTTGTCAGTTAATGATACTTAGCTGACATATAAGACAAGTATGAGGGATTTATAAAAATTTAATTTAATTCAGCTTATCAGAATATAAACCCAAGACTTATGTTATATTGGCATCCTGTTCACATTGCAGCAAAAGCAAATGAAACTTTTTTTGTCGAAATATTACTATACACACAAGTCCATGCATACACATATTCATAGCTTGATAAAGTCACAAAATGATCACACCTATGTAATCATCTCTCATCTCCCAAATCAAAACGCAGGATGACAGATTCCTAGGAACCTTTTTCATCCTTCCTTTTCACCATCACCAAACCTTTTTCAGGAGTAACAACTATCTTACAATTCTTACACCATGGATTAATTTTATGTTTTTAACTTTATGTGAATGGTACATGATGTACTCTTTTGTGTCTGGTTTCCTTCCTCAACTGCGTTTGTGATCTCTACCCATGTATTGCCTGTTTTATCCTTCAATTCGACTTAGCTTGACTATTCACCACGCTCAACGATGTAAAGGTTGGTAAGCAGCGCCCCCTTTCGGATCGATGATGCAACCACAGGCAAGGGATAGTAGGTCGAGCGTCTCACCGGGAGGGGGCGAGGGGGCACTGGGGGGGG